TCGCTGGCCCTGCTCGAGCTAGCCGCCGCGTTGCCGACGCCGCTCGAAAGTGCCGTCGAGGAACGCGCCTCGGCCACCATGTGGTGACGATCCCGCCGTATCCATCAGCGTCGCGGAGCCGGCATGGGCCTAAAATTGGGGCAGCGAGGAGCTGCAAAGAGAAGCCGCGATGGCACTGGCAGAGAGGAGGGCCACGGAGGGGCCCGGCCCCCGGCCGCCTAAAGCGAGCCGAGGAGGCGGCAATCGTTCGAGGGGGAGATGAGCCGCAAGAGGTGCCCTGGGAAGGGAACCTAGAGCCTGGGACGGGCCATGGGCCCCAGCCTGGCGCGTCCGAGGTGGTATTGGCGCGCCGGAGAGATGCGCGTGGCGGCAGGCTGGCCCTCCGTCAGGTAGGCGGCGCCCGCAGGGCCCAGGGTGCGCCGTTGCCGGCGGCTGGGCCTAGAGGAATACCCCGGCTGGACGAGTATTCGGGTCGCCCTCGGGATCCGATGCCCAGGTCCTTTCGGAGTCTCTTCGCGGTCTCTGCGGGGGCCTCCCCAACGTGTGGCTGGAGAGAGACTCTGTCGAGGGGGGTGCTGTTGTCGTGCTGGTGGGTCACGGGATCGCGGAGGTCGCGCCCGTCGCCCTGGCAGCGCCTGGAGTTGCGGTGATTTGTTGGTCTTCGGACTGAGCGCTGGCGCAGGAGGGCCAAGGGCCGCCCTCAGCGGCGTGCGACCGGGCCGGTCGGCCCCAGCGCTCGTCGGTTTCCCAGCTGCCCCACCCGGACCATTGCGTCCAGTGGTCGCCGCAAGGGCTGCTGCGGCCGGCCTCGCTCCGTCAGCGCGGGCGGCGCTCGCGCCCGCCCGCATTCCAGTTATGTCCGTTTCTCGCGGCCGCAGGCGGGCGGGCCCTGGGCACGCCGGGGGGGCGCGGCGCGCCCCGTCCAGGCGAGCGCGCGAGGTTCCTGTCGTCGCGCCCGGCGAGCACGGGGGAAGAACGAGGTTCGGCGGGCGAAGTGGCGGCGCGCGCCCTATCTTCATGCTCGGGACCGGCTGAGGAGTGAATGATCACCGCAAGATCGGAGCTCGGTGAAGGGGGGGGTGCGACCAAGGCTCCTTTGCGCCCCTTGGGCGCCGTAGGCGGGGCGCACGGAGGGGCCGCATCGGAGGTCTCCGGACTGTCGTCCGCGCCCTCCGCGATTCCGTCACTGCTCGGTCGGGGAGGGGCAGTCGCTGGGGCAGCTGACTGGGCGCATGGCTCATGCCAGGGGCTGGCCTCCCTCGGGTGGGCGCGGCCCGGAGATTCGGTAGCCTGGCGGGCGGTGGCATGGTGGGCTGGTAAAACTGCGCGGAGACGAGGTGGGGGAGTGCCCCGCGCCTTCGTTCCAGTCTGGGTCAGGAGAGTGGGAGCGGAAGTGTTGGAATTCAGCATGGGGGGGTGGCTGCCGCATGGAGTTGACCGCCTGAGTTGTCCCGTCCCTCGCCCTTGCCGTTCTTCCTGCTTGAGGAGAGGCTAATCTGCTTGCACATCTTGGGTGTCCCGCATGGGGATCTCCGAAGCCAGCTGCAGCAGGGGGCCGGGCGTGAGTTTGTCCGAGCTGACCTGCGCCAGGAAATCAACCAGTGTTTCCACGGTACGCCGCGGGTGGGAAGGGCCGGGCGGGGGCCACTTGTCGGAGTGATGGAGCCACCTGTCCAGGATGCTGGGGCCCGGGGATAGCGCGCAGAGTTTGGCGACCGCCCGTTCGGCAGCTAGCCGTTTACCCTGCCAGTGGGTGTTCTTGGGAAGGTAGGATGGTGGCACCCGTTCTCCGTATATCAGTTTCAGGAAGGGTCGTAGTTGAAGTGGTGTCCAGTTTCCAGGGTCGTCGGGTCATACCACGCCTTGCCCCTGCGTCTGTGTAGCCCCGCCAACGATCGTCCAGGAGCGGATGCACGTCCCGCATAAATTCGATCATGCGGACCTCGATGGGTCTTGTGTCCGATTCGTCAGCTCCGTCCTCCTCTTCGGCCTCCAGGGAGTTGGGGTCGGCGTTTCTCGACCCGTGCCCACGCGGTAGGTTCGCCTCAGGAAGCAGGCGGAACACCTCCTTGGTTTCATTGGTCATGGAGGGAGGTGCGCTTGTTTCTAGAATAGCGCCGTCGGAGGCGCCTGTCCCGGCTGGGCGGGGCCGCGCGGGCGACGAGGGCCCGACGAAGCGTCAAAAATTATCGCTGGCGGGGGGATGTGACCAGAGAAATCACGCCGACGACTGCAGCAATTAGAGGTCTCCGCTCCTTCCGCTCCGCAACCTTCAAGGGCAAGCCTTCATCGGCCGCGCTCGAGCGTCAGCTCACGGGGTTCGACAGCGCCTCGAGGCCAGCTCGCGCCGCAGAGGCGCGGGCGAGCTCCGGCAGCGGCCCCGCTTGACGGCCCAACGGTTTCATCCATCGATGTCCTGCGAAGTGCGCCCAGTAGTGATGCAGGTACTTCGTGGGCGCGGAGATATTAGCAGATGCCCACGCGGCGGCGGCGGAGCATCAGGCACGGCCTCGACGACACCAAGATTGTTGGACGCCTGGTGGAGCACGGCCCGCACCACCTGCTGAAGGCCTTTGGACCTCTTTTCGGGGCGGCGCGGTTCATGGACAGCGTTGGTGAGACAAGGCTTGCAGCGGCTGAGGAGCTGGACTGGCCGAGGTGCTCTACCAAGTCCTGCGGCTGATATCCGCAGTGTTTGTGGGCCGATTCTGGATAAGATTTTGGACAGCATTTTCTTCGCAGAGTCTTGTCTAGATCGCCATTCCCCCCCGCCCTCGTCGGCGCCGCCCGCGCTGAGGGCCCTGGGCCATGCATGCTCTGTGCGCCACGCTCGGTTTCCCACAGAACGCGCCCTCGCCAGCCACTGCCGAGCCAGGCACGGACACCGGCTCGGCATCAAGCAGTATATCGATGGCTCTGGCGTGTGCCCCTCCTGTGGCACGCAATTCAGAACCCGACTCAGATGCATAGCTCACTTGTCGGATCGTCGCCGCCCTCGTTGTGCCAACTGGGTGCTGGCAAATTGACGACCTCTCGCCAGCGACGTCCTGAGTCGCCTGGATGAGAAGGACCGGGAAGCCTTGCGCGAAGCGTGGAGTCAAGGCCACTCGCATGCTCTCGCCAGAGGCCCCGCTCTCACGCGAGACGGCAAACGCATCGGCCGTTGCCGGTAGCGTCTCGTCCTCTCACTGTTTTTGCCTTCCGCACTCTGCAGTCGTGCCTTAGGCCGCTTTGCAGTGTTGTGCGCTATGGGAGCCCGCCGTCCCCGCAGCAAAAAGTGTTTGTGGGCAACAGCTGTAGTAAAGAGCTCCCAGGTTGAAGTATGCCGTATCGAGGCATGGTGACGGCTGGTTGCCCAGAGCACAAAGGCGCTCGAGCACTCGTCAGTTACAGTCTGGATTGAGTCCAGGACCAGGAGCACGGCATCTGTGTGCTATGAACGCGGCAACATCAGTTCCTTGTTACCTGTTTGGGCAATACACCGCGCCATTGCGCCTGGTGCTCGCAAGTTGCTTGTCGCGTTCGCAAGCAGCTGCGGTAGCGGCGATGCACGCTTCGGCGCACGCATCATTTCGTCTCACTGACATGCCGCGAGGATCTCTGGCAGACGTCGGTGTTCGCAAATGGAAGGCTGGGGGAAGACGGGGAGGAACATACCAACCCCAGTTTGCACCAACGATGATGCAGTACACCCTCCCGTCCCACGGCCCCTCATAATCCCACGTTCACAAGCTTTCATTTTAGCTCCAAAACGTGCCCCAATTGGAACATTCGCTTTCAACGAGCGTCACATTCAGGCGGGAGCCCCTCTTTCAAAAGGAGCTGGTTGGCATACGTATAGCAAACAGTAAGGACAGCGAAAGAGTGCAAGCATACATCCCAACGTGGTGTCCAGCTATACCCCCTTTTAGACACAACTGGCCGCCCCCATGTGTGTAACTGTTGCACAAGCAAGCTTGCACTTCTGGCCTTGAGTTTCGAGGAAATTGCAAGCGAGAGCCCACATTCCTGGGTCAGGGGCAAATTGAGCGGGGGAGCGGATTCAGGCGGGGACAAAGCGACCCCGCGATCATCGCCGATAGGGGCCCAATGGCCCACCCCGCCCAGTAACGTGCGGATTCGCTCTCGGGGGGCCTGTCGCCGATCCGTGGGCGATGTATCGCCGATTCAGGCTCGAAGTTCCCCCCTGACCCGGTTCCCCCCCCATCGCTGCTTTTCAGAAGCCCTGTGCTCCAGGGAGTCGTTTTCTTCGGGGCCCTTTCCCAGGCATGCGACCCTCTGCTTTTTTCTATGCTCTGTCCTCGGAAGTCTCGCCCCTTTCCCAAAAGCCAGGTTTTTCAATCCCGCGCAGTTATTGTTAATGTCCTCGCGGCCCGGCGAGGGCCTCCGAGGCCGAAAACTACGAACGAAGCATCCGTCGTGTTTTTTTCACGGCGCGGGGATGTTTGTTTCTAGGCCTCCCAGATGGGATCCGAGCAGGTGGAGGGTGGATCGGAGGAGCGTTCCGCATCGCCGATGCATTGGCGATGCGGCTCGATGTGGAGCTGGATTTTCTCCACGCCGATGGCGCCGATGCATCGCCGGCGTCGCCGACGCGTCGCTGATGCATCGCCGACGCATCGGCGATGCATCGACGATGCGGCGCAAGCCTTCGACCCCACCTACTCCGACCCCACATGGGAGGCCAGGGCTGAACCTAAATTGTGTTTTTCGTTTTCGTTTTGTTTTCATGTTCCCTCGTTTTGTCGTCAATCCGCCTTTGCCGCAAAACGAAGTCGAAACGAAAATGGCCCACGAAATCGCCAAAACACCGTTTAGGTCCAGCCCTGTGGGAGGCACCTCTGCGCTCCGCACGGAGAACGTCAACATGGCGCTCCAAGGCCCTTGCATCCTTACCGCGCATCCTTACGATCGTGGTCGAGCGTACTCCGACCCCACATGGGAGGCCTCGAATGCTCGGGCTTCCTCCGCGGCGAGCCCCGCGGGCCGCCCGCGGGGAGGCTGTCGATGTACGTCGACGGCGCGCTGGAGGTCGACGGCGTGCCCCTCCAGGCCAGGGCCCTTTGCGGGCGGGAGCTCATGGGGCTGTGTTTCACCACCACCACCACCATAAGTTGGAGGGGGGACGGAGGTGGAGGACGAGGAGGAGGACGAAGAGGAGGAGGAGGAGGAGGACGAGGAGGAGGAGGTGGACCCCCCCCACCTCCATCTTATGGTGGTGATGGTGGAGCACAGGCCCATCAGGAGCGGCTGCGAAGCCTGGCAGGCCCGGGAGGAGCTAGAGGCTGCCTTGGCTGCTGGCCTGGGCCGCCGCCGCCGCCTTTTTTCGGTATCGTTTATCCCATCCCCATCCCCATCCCCATCCCCTTCGAGACCCCCCCCCAAATTACCCCCCCAGTTGGGGATACACGGATACACCCGTCGAAACCCGAAGGGAACGGCCTATATCCCCATCTAGGGGTGTAAAGCGGCCAGTGGGGCCCAGGCCACGCCGTTGGGGATGGGGATCGGTTCAACGATACTCATTTTTCGCTCGTCGCTCGCTCGTTACTGCTCCCCTGAGTGCGCCCCGCAGCGCCCGCGGCGGTCGGGCGCCTCGGCGCGCGGAGGTACGCTCGTGGAGCGCGGAACGCAGGCTGCCTTGTGTCCTCTGGCGCGCAGCGGCCGTTACCTGGGCCAGCCCCCTTCGGCCCGAACTCGGGGCTACAGAGACGGAGGTCAATGCAAGCGGGGGTGAGCCAGAGCGCCGGATCTTATTGAATCTTGCAGAGCCAGGGGTGCATTGACCCGGGCTTGCGTGCAGGATCCGGTAGGATCCTGCAGGATTTTGCAGGATATTGCAAGGCCTGAGTGACCCCGGCTGGGACTGACCCATGTCAGTAGATCCGCGACAAACCTCTGCGTCGGCTACGGCTCCAGCTGTGTTCTCGGCGGTCCTGGCCCCAGGTCCAGCTTCGGCTTCGGCCCCGGCCGCCGCTGTAGCCAGCCCAGTCCCTTTCCCAGGTCTCGAGCTCGGCCCGGGCCGCGGCTTCGATCGCAGCCTCGTCGCCCCCTGGGCAACGACAGCGATCGGACGCTTTGGGGGGTGCCTGCCTGTGCTCGCAGGCACCTCGCCGGTGATCGCAGGCGTCTTGCTGATGCTCGCAGGTTCTGCGCAGCCAGACCCGCCATCTCTCGGGCATTCCCGATTTGATCCGCCCGAAGTCCCCTTCAACCCAGTTGCGATCTCGATCGCGACCTGGCGCGATCCAGCTCGAGCTGACGAGCTGACTTGGCGCGCCAAAGAGGGTATCGGGAGAGTCTCCGGGAGTGGGAGTGGACACGGAATGAAATGTGGTCCGTCGGGGGCGCCCAGGGACGACGGACCCAGCGCCCCCCCCTTTCCACACGCCGACTGGGTCGGCGGGTGTGTCCTCACACGGATGTGTCCTCATCCTGCCGTCGTCCGAGCGGAGGGTGGCGGCCACTTGCCGAGATCGAGGCCCAGACCTCCGGCGCATTGAGAGATCTTGTGTGGAGGTTCTCCTCGTCTTTGGCCTTTGGGGGCCCTCGCCGGGCACCAGGGCCATCGAAGAGCGACTCGGCATGACAGGCCAGCCCTGGAGAAGTGGGGGTCGGGGCTTCCAGCCTCCAGGGGACTCGCGTTGAAAAAGTAGGACGTGGGATGTCTGGGGCGACGGACTGGAGGCATCTGCCCTCAAATATTCAGCCCGCCAGATCGACACCTGCCCTGGCCACTCCGACGCTGGCGCGTGATGGGTGGGAGGAGGAGGAGGAGGAGGAGGAGGAGGAGGAAGAGGAGGAGGAGGAGGAGGGGGAGGAGGAGGGGGAGGAGGAGGAGGATGAGGAGGATGAGGAGGAGGAGGAGGTGGAGGAGAGAGGAGGGACCGGCTCTGGGGGGAAACACCGATCTGGAATCGGAGTTATCTCGCCGACAGGTCGGCGATATGCCCCGCAAAAGCGAGGCAGCACGTTCCCGGGCGGAGAGGGCGATCGTGCCCCTACCGGCAATCAATGAGCGATAAATGGGTCGACACATCCCCCCCTGAGCCCATCCTCCCCTGGCGTCGACGTTGCGATTTGAGGGGCGATCGGGGGGGGTCCCTCCTCCTCCTCCTCATCCTCTTCCTCTACCGCCTCCGCCTCCTCATCCCTCCTCCACCCGCTCTCCTGCGTCCTCCTGCTCTTTCCCCTCTGATCTCTCCGTTTTCCCGCCCTCCTCCATTCTCTCTCCATCCACCGCGAGCGCGAGTGGAGGTGAGCGTGTCGGGGGGGAGGAGGAGGATGTCCGCTGCTTATCAGCAGTTTTTCCCATCTCTCAGCATTCACTCTTCCTCCTCCTCCTCCTCCTCCTCCTCCTCCTCCTCCTCCTCCTCCCCCTCCTTCTACCGTTACTTGAAGATGGTCTCTTTTGAATTAGAAGCTTCAGAGCAACGTCTCCGTGTCTGGCTTGCTCGTCTTCCCCACAAACATGCACACTGGTGTCCTTCTGTTCCGGCGAGACGAGGTGGGAAGAGACAAAATAATACCACTGTCCCCGGACCTTAATGGACAATGGTGCGTTGAACGACAATGCAGTCATTCCACTCATGGGCGCCTCAATTGCGACGAGACCAGGAATTGCTGTGCAGCTACCCCGAGGCCGAGTCTTTTTTTGAGGCCTGGGGGAGTCGGGCTATCAAGGCTTGCTGTGGGATGAGGTGGTAAATGCCCTCTTCGTCTCCCTTGACCCGTGGTGTTTGCGCATCGCCTTTTCTGCTGTACAGTGGACCCCGCCATACTTGTGCCGCGAGCGCGGCGCGCGTGTACACATGACCACATACGGGACCATCTGGCTCGAACAACTCTGAATATCCTCTTTCCCACATCTTTTCACCATTCTGGGCAGCGGGCATGACGTCTACGAGTGCTTCAGGACACATGGGGACAGAGTTTTCCTCACAATTGCCTCTTTGGATGCGCTTATGTGGCCGATCGTTATGGCCACAGCTCGGCCAGGTTATCGGACTAAGTGTACGTGCTCCCCCAGCCGTTGTGGAAACCCTTCGGGGAATACGTGAGGGAAAAATAATGATCAGAATCGTAACGATAGCACGAAGCGGGAAAATATGGAAAGAGCCTCCTGGGAGCGTCTTGGGGCACTCTTGGGGTCTCCTGGGAATTTCACGGTCGCCTCTTGGAAGCCTCATGGAAGCCTCCTTGGGCTTTTTGTCGGACGGGGCTAGGACGAGCATGCATCCGTTCCGGAACGCTCTGAGAAGGCCGGTGACGCCCGAGACATCCCCCAGAGCCGCCAGAGCTCGAAGATTCTCGATGTATCCTCGCCTGATTGTATCCTCGTCCTGGCCTCGTCTTCTCTTGGGGGCCTCCCTGGGCCCCTTGGGGGGCGTTGGGAGCTTTTCAGGGGCGTCGTTTTGGCCACCTGCGGGGGCCGCGCCGCTCTCCGCAGACACGTGTCGGCGGTGCGGCGCCCCTCCAGAGCCCGAGGCCCGCCATGCAGACATCCCTGGCGCAGCGATGGGGCAGGGTGCGCCCCGCCGCGCCCGCGGCGGTCGGACGCTTCGGCGGGCGCAGGCGCGCTCGTGGAGCGCGGAACGCAGAAACGCGGGCTGCCTTTTGTTCGCCGGCGCGCAGCGGCCGTTCCCTGGGCCAACCCCCTCGGCCCGAACTCGGGGCTCAAGGGCGGGGGTCAATGCAAGCGGGAGTCAGCCAGAGTGCTGGATCTTGCAGGATCCTGCAGGGCCAAGGGTGCATTGACCCAGGCCTGGGCGCAGGATCCTGCAGGATCCTGCAAGGCCAGACTTGTTTGGGTCTGGCTTGATCCGGGTCAGTAGATCCATGACAAAGATCGGCGCCTGCAAAGAGTGTGATTACGCCGGGGTGTGGATTACGCCGGGGGGGCACGACGCGGTCTTCATCGAGCCTCCTCGGGGCGCGGCGGAGAACCATATCCAGGTCCCCGCCAGGCCCCAGAGTGCCCGGCAGGGTGGCGGCTGCAGGCCGTTTGCAGGCCACACCATTCAGAGTCGCCGAAAGGAGGAGTTGCGAAATCTGCCGCATGTATCGTGGTTTCGGCCACGCTGCTGGGCGTCTTCCTCGATACGTTGGCGCCTCGCCAGCGCGAGGAGGCGCAAGAGCAACTGGGCGCGAATTAATGAGGGGACGATACATGGGGGGCGGCGAGGGCTGCAGTAAAGGGGCCCTGGAGGGCCCCAACAGGAGCCCTCCAGGGCCCCACAAGGGGCACTCCCTTTACTGATCCCCCGCTCGCCCGACAGCTGATGTCTTGGGAAAGAAAGCGCGCCTCTCCACCGCCATGTGACCTGCCTGGGGCTGGGCTAGAGAGCTTCGGCTCCCGACTGTGAGGAGGTAAAAACATAAGAGGTAGACTTGGCATCGCCCGGAAATGTGCGTCATCTTCTCGGCGAGGGCCACTGGGGAGCTTCTTTGAACATCTTGCGAACAAATGCACCTGGAAACGTCCGTGTAATGGCGAGTGGAGGGGTTGGTGCTTTGCTGGCCCCCCCTCCCGCCAGACCCGTTCCAGACAGTCGATGTCTTGCCTTTTCAATATAAGGCCCCCGGGAACACGGAGTTTTCCCAGGGCAGGTCTGTCACCCCCCGGGGCAGGTTTGTGATCCCAGGCAGTGTCTTTTTGTGACGGCCCCGGACCCGACGCAGGCTCCCGGGGGCCGAAAATAGCAGCACAGTTGCCGTCGCGACGTTTTTGCGACGCGAGTGGCTTTGGGAAGGAAAAGGACAGACACGCGTAAACGTCGATCCCCACGAAACTACGAGAAGTGGGGGCCACGACGAGCATCCAGAAATCATTGGAAGTATAGTGGGAATCTTGGAATTAGCTGTGTCCATGGATTTACGTCTCCCTGGGCCCCTGTGGTTCTGGGGCGGGCAGGAGCAGCGGCGCCGCAGCGGCCGACGAGCGACCCGTCGATGGCGGTCGACGGCGAGGGCGGCCGCAGCGACCGACCCGCTGCGGCGCGGCGGCGAGGCCCAGTCGCCCATCCGCCACGCGGCCGTCTTCAACTGGAGGCTGGCTGGGGGGGAAGCGTGTTCTTTCTGTTGCTAAGGCCTCACGGCCAGTGCCGCCGACCCTGGAGGCCTCGGCCCTCGACGGAAATGGGAGGGAGAGGGCGGGCCATGGGTCGCCCATCCGCCACACGGCCGTCTTCAACTGGAGGCTGGCCAGGGGGGGGAGAGCCTTTTTTGTTGTTCTTCCTGGGCGATGACGGCCGGTACGCCACGTTTCGCGCGCTGGCGCCGTTTGGGAATGCTTCAGGATTGCCAAAGACAGCTCACAGCTCGGATAGCAGATGCCAACCGGAATCTGCTACGGCAGACCGCGCATGCCTGTGCGGATCTGCTGCGGCGGAGCGCTTTCCTTCTCCGCCTCTTCGTACTCCTCGTTCTCATCGTCGTCGTCGTCGTCGTCATCCGGGTCGTTGTCGTCGTCATCGTAGCTCGTAGCGTTCCTCTTGTCGTCCTCTTTGTCTTCATAGTATATTGCTTGGTGCTTCGCGCCATGACTGGCGAAGGGGGGAGGGAATCGGGAGGAGGGATGGTGCGAGACCAGGCGGAAATGATATGTTTGATTACACGTCTGTTGTCGATTCGTGCTCTGGGAGTGCCTCGTTATCGTCCTCCTCCTCCTATCGTTGTCCTCGTGTGGCTTATGCTTCTGACCAAACATGTTCGGTGCTCGCGGGCCACTGATGCTCGCAGGCGCACGCTCCGCCTTATCCGAGCTGAGGGTTATATTCTCAGCCTGGTGGCCCCAAATTAAGGGCCGTGTGCTAGTGTTTGCAACGCGTAAGTTGTTGCGAATCATGGTGTGGATCTCGTGGTGCTGCCGTTTCAGTAAGACCGGCAGCAGTCGCCAAAGCAAATGGTTCAAGCGTGGTGACCATTTGTGGTTGCAGAACGCACCTGCGCAAGAAGATACATCGCACCTTCGGTTTTCTGCATTGAGTTTTTTCGGGGAGCGCGGTGACCACGACTGGTTGCAGAACGCGTTTGCGCAGGGAGAAACATGCCACTGGCTTTCGGCTCTCGATCGAAATAGAAGGCAGTGCGGTGTTGGCGGCACGCGTGCACCTCATGGGCTTGCGCCAGCCCGCCCCTCCGAAGCAAAGAGGAGGGTAGGACGACAACAGGAGTGGTACGAGGAGGAAAAAAAGGAGCGGACGACGACGACGAGGCCATTTCCCCCTTCTCGGGCCCGCCGGGAGCGCCCCCGCGCACGCACGCACGCACGCACGCACGCACGCACGCACGCACGCACGCACACCCACGCACGCACGCACGCACGCACGCACGCACACACACACACACACATTCACACACACATTGACACACACACACACACACAAATACACCGCAGGGCACGAACCGAAAACATATGGTGGAGGCGTTGGTAAGGAATAGTCTCAGGAGTCGCCAGACCCTGGAGGGTTCCTTAGCTGATGTGGGCGGCGGTGATATTCATGGCCAAGCTTCGATTGGAGTTCCACCGGCCTCCAGACCCTGGATTCCTGATCGAAGGGTTCCTTATCCAATGCCCCCACCGTCCGTAGCCATTTTGGCTCAAGTCCGTAGCCGTTTCTGGCACAAGGGCTTGAAGTCACCTGGCGTGGGGGAGGCGCGCCCCCGCCCGCGATCCTGCGGCCAGGTTGGCTGCAGACATACTTGTGTGAGCTCCTGTCGGAGCAGCTCCCGTGAGGAGCACCGTACCCTGCAACGACGTCCAGGATTTGCCTCCTGGTGCTCGCCCCATGGCTCCTGCTCCTGCGGCCGTGCGGCCTCCGTGGTGGAAGCTGCCGACCAAGTTCGTGTCCCCACCCTGGGGAGGTCAACAGAAGCAGCAGTGGCAGGCATGGCGAGACATCGGCTCCGACGACGACCTCGAGGGCTGGCACCAGGTGGGGCAAACTGGAGGAGGGCCGTGGTGCAGTAAGTGCGGCTGCAAGAAGAACTCCAAGGGCAGCAAGTTCTGCAAAGCCTGCGGCCATAAGCTCTCGGACATCAGCCCAGCCGTCGCTGCCGAACCCGCTGGGGTCTGGAGCGAGCAGCGAAGACAGCACGGGGATGCCGATGGAAAGGACGGCAAAGGCGGCAAGAAGGGCAAGAAAGGCAAGGACTCGGGCAAAGGTGACGGCGGCAAAGGTGGTAAAGGGGGCCGTGTTGAGGGAGCAGCAGGCGGTGACCCAGCCAAGCTTCCTCGAGCGCCTGGTGCACAGTTCCTGGTGGCCCAGGAGGGACCCTCGGTGGAGCTTGAGTTCCACGAGCTGGAGCAGCTGGTGGCCACGCTGGAGAAGCTGGGCGGCACGGTCAGCCTCGCGAAGCACAGGCGCACCCTTCAAGAACGGCGACGACTCCAGCAGGAGGCGCTCTATGTGCCGCCATTGTCGCAGAGAGTCACGCAGGCCCACAAGCAGGTGCAGGACATCGCGCAGAAGCTGGAGAAGGCGGCGCTGCACTTCGAGCGGCTCGAGGAGGGCCTCGAGAGCCAGAGGCGGTGGGTCCAATCCCTTTGCGAGGACATGGAGTCGAAGAAGGCTGAGCACCGCAAGCTGGTGGTTGAGCTCAATCGTCAGGTGGTCGACATCAGCCAGGACTCAACTCCGTCAGTGGCCCCCATCAGTGCGGCTGGCATCCTCGACGGCTCCATCGAGGAAATTCCTCTTTCGTTTGCTGGCCTTGGGTTCGACGACGAGGAGTACGAGATGGATGCAAATGACAAGAAGGAGCTGGCAGATCGCAGCGCCCGCCTCAAGAGCGAGCTGCCGAACGCCGTCGAGCAAATGTTCGGGCAAGCGGCAGAGAAGGCCAAACTCTTCAAGGAGGAGCAGGAAGCCATGGCCCTACGGCTGGCTGGGAAGAGGCGGCGTCAGGGTTCAGGCCCTGAAGACCCTGGCTCAGCAGGGGCGGCCGCTGCAGGATCAGCTCCGAGAGGCAAGGGCGGCGAGGCAGCGGACTCCGACGCGACGACGCCGTCGCCTCCCTCCGCAGCCAAGCAGTCGCCCAAGGAGGAGGAGTCATCCAGAGACGACTTCGAGCAGAGGGCGGCCAGGATCTGTCGCCCGCCGCCCCCATCAGGCGGACTCTGCCTGAGGGGGCAGACCCAGTGGACGCAGAGGCTGAGGGTGATCGGCGGACGCCCTTGGCCGAGGCAGCTGGATCTCTTCGACCAGCGGACCGTTTCTGGAGCAACAAGTCCGTGGACCTCGACTGGCCTCAAGTCGGGGGGTTCTGGGTCCCTGCCCTGGCCCGCCCAGACAAGGGGACAACGTTGATCGGAAGGCAGCGCTGCAAGCAGCTGTGCGCCGTGCCCGAGGCAGTCCTGCCCGAGCCCTCGGGGCAGAGGCTTGCGGCCATGGGGCTCCCACCCGATGCTGCTGATCCTGAGTGGCAGGCCATCCAGGACTTCAACGACATGAGGGCTGACCTCAGGGACTGGGCTGCCGCCTGGTTTGACTCTCACACTGAGCTGGAGACAGACAGCGGGCACTGGAGGCGCTGGTGCAAGGCTTTCCTGGGCGCGATGCTCGCGGACGGCGGGAACGAGCCGCTCAGGCGCCTACTGGGGATCTGGTTCCCATGCTGGCACTTGGACAATATCCTGGACGAGCTGTGCCTCAGCGGCTGGAGGCAGTCAGAGCCCCGCCGCATTGCCTTTCTGGTCAGGCTCAACAGTGCCCAGCCTCTGGATCGGTGGCGACTCGAGCACGCGCGCTGGAGGCAACTGGCGCAGATCAGGGCCATGTTTCGCCGACTACTTGGGGACAGAGCTCCTGGAGACCCAGTGCCGCCTCGGAGGCCTGGTGGGGGAATGGAGTCGGACCCTAATCGTCGGCCCGACCCTGGTGACGACCAGGCGATGGACTACGTCGACAACCTGACGGCGAAGCTGCTCATGCTGTCGCACGCGCCCTCGCAGCAGCCGCCTGGCGGCCTGGCCTGGCCCAGCCAAGCCAACCTGCACGTGGAGCAAGCCAGCCTTGGTTCGCCCTGGTCAGCGAAGGGGGCCTCTTCGGTTTCGCGGACTGCGGTGCCAGAACGCATCCCTGGACAAACAAGCCAGAGCAAGGTAAGACCTGGTCCCGAGCGCTCCTCGAGCTCGGGCCAGGCTCAGTCGCCACCCGCTGGATCAAGACCCTCGCCTGTCGAGAGGGTCGTGGGTGTTGCAGACAGTCCAAGCTGGGACTCAAGAAGCTTTCTCAACTCCAGTGTCACGGTGGACACCCTGGGCCTCCGATCTGCCCCAGAGCTGCAGAACACCAAGGGGGGCGTCTTGCCACAGAGGGAGGGGCCGCTAACGCTCTGCTTGGCCAAGCTGGTGGCGCCGCCTGTGGCTAGCCCAGCGTCCTTCATCTCTTTGAATGGCACGACATGGAAGGAGGCGCAGACGGAGCTCGAGCGCCTCTCGGACTCTGGCTTGAAGGACGATGTCTACCTTATCCAGGAGACGCGCTTCACGGGGAAGGAGAAGGAGAGCGAGGCCATCGGATGGGGCACTCGCAACGGCCTTAACGCTTCATTCAGCCCATGCAGGAGAACGGGAAGCTCGGCCCAGTCGGTGTCATCGGGGGTTGGCTGTCTTGTGGCGGCACACAGAGGATCAGCACCCGTGGACCATGACTGGGGTCCTTTCTGCTCGCGGCTTCTCGCTCGCAGGGTGGTATTCGGGGACTTGATGGTGATCGTGGTCAGTGCCTACCTGGAGCACTCCGCCAAGATGACGGGCACAAGCGTGGAGCTGCTGAGCGAGCTGCAGGTCTTCCTCAACTCTCAGTGCGAGCCTTTTATTGTGGCAGCTGGCTGGAACATGGAGCCGCAGCTGTTAGAGAGCTCGTGGTGGCCGCGTTCTGTGGGCGGGGCAGCCGTGGCGCCCAAGTTTCCTACCTGCTCAGTGACCTCGGGGAACGATCGTGTATACGACTACTTCGTGATATCGGCCTCCCTTGCGGCTCTTAGCCCAACGGCAGAAGTGCTTCGGCCAACGTCTACACACCCCCATGCTCCAGTGCGTCTTA